TTCTTATGTAGATACAATGAAAAGAGAAATTTTAAATATTTATAGAGATAATTTTATTGTTTTAACACTTTGAGAGAGTAACGACTAAAATGTACAAAATTCATGGAATATGTCCATGCTTTTCACGTATGGACTCTACTTTTCAGGCATTTTTCTTGAAAAAACAAAAGCATTAAATAAAACATGATGAAGATGTAATGTATTATTTCTAATTCAGAATTACTCACAATAAATGGAAAGAATCTGGCAACAATAAAAATAAGCACCAAACTCACTGCCACAAAGTCGATTCTAACCCAGAGCAATCCCCATTGCGTTTCTGAAGTGGTAAATCTTTACTGAAGTAGATTGCCAACCTTCTTTCCATGGTTGATTTGAACAACCAACCTTCTGGTTAGCAGTCAAATGAATTAGGCACTATGCCACTAGAGTTATATATTGTATGGTTTATAATACCATATAAACAATATATTTATATCAGGTAACATTTTATAGTCAATAAGATTTTAGAATAAATTCCATAATGCAATATGAGAAAATATAAACCAAATAAAATTGAGTAAAAATATAAGATTAACAATCATGCACACTACTTAAATCATAAATGTTATTCATTTGAGAGCAAGTAAGAAAGGCCCAAGTAAGAAAGAAGTATACGAAAAATAATAATAGAGCAGTATACTGAGGTTAGGAGCTCTGGTAGGTAGCATAGTGCCTAAGACACTTGACTGGTAACCAGAAGGCTGGTGGTTCAAACTCACCAGCCACTCCTCAGAAGGAAGGTTGGGCAATCTACTAGTGATACTGCCTCGGCAACCCAAGGAGGGTTCGCTATGAGTTGGGGCCGACTCAATGGCACATAACAACAAACAACAATGCTGAGGTTAGAAAAATGTTTAGTCTTCTCTCTATTCTAAGCATTTTGTAATGAATAATTTGGAATAGAATATAGAAATCTCCTATAATGTGATGGAAAAAAACAAGTGTACAAATATATATATCAAATACTTGAGTTAAACAATCTGAATTTGGCAAACTATAAATTTTTAGGAAATGATGACACATGGTGTTAGTGAGGATTATGAAAATAAGCAAACCTTTAAATTATTAGTGCATATATATTCACACATGTACCATCACGATAAATGAAAGGCTAAAGGGAAGAATTATAAAGATAGGCTTGAATTCTGTAAAATTCCAAAGTGGCATCTTAAAGCAAAATGTAGGTACTACATGTGATACAAGCTTGTTTTCACGCTTCGAAGAACTCACTCGTGGCATTCAGGGCAAATAATAAACATAATGCATGACAGTTAATCATAAGAAGGTATTTGTGTTTGGAACTCCTGTTTAAGGCATGTTGGAAACTTAGTAACAATCATTTCTACAATTTAGTTACTATTTAATTTTTACTCAGTTTAATTTGTACTCCATGGTCTAGGAATAGACATTATAATGCTTTAATTAATATTGGTTATATACATATACAAATAAAAATATGTATTGATGTTTATTATCTTAGTTATCTAGTACCACTATAAGAAAAATAGTGCAAGTGGGTAGCTTTAAAGAACATTTTTCCCCCTCACATTTCTGGAAGCTAACAGTCCAAATTCGGGTCTTGGATGTGTCTATTCTTTCAGTGAGCCTTTCTCTTAACATCTGATTTTTGATATTGATCTTTGTTATGCCATGTCATGTTTCCCCTGTGTGTCTGTTCTTTTCTTTTCATAACTCAGAAGTGATTAGGTTTAGGATCCACCCTACACTGATAGGTGCTCACTAACATAACAAAAGAAAACCCCTCCTTCAAGCAGGATCATATCCACAGGCACTGAAACCAAAATCAAGCTCAATGGCAT